TGTGTACACACACACCAACTCACAGACATATTTTATTTTCCAGCTGTGTCTACAGAGAATGTCTGGGAACGCTGACAACCCTAAGAGCAGTGAGCACACCTAGTCTCCAGACCTGTTTCTAAATGGGGCAGAAGTACAAGATAAGCTTGGAACATCTTGTGCCAGAAAGTAAGAAAGTGCTCAAAGAATGCTAGGGCCATGACAAGAATCTGTGAGAGTCTCTATTGGCAAAACAGGGATAACTTGAACATAATAAGAGTAACAGGTGTAACACAAGGCATGAAGTAGCAAACCATGAATGTATGCTGATGTAAATAGGCAATATAAACCAGGTATTCTTCTTACAGTTGAATGTGCCACTAATATAGTGTATCCCCAGCTTACAATGGTGCAGCTTATGATTGTTCAACTTTATAGTTGTACRGAAGCGACATGTTCAGCAGAAACCATACTTTGAATTTTAAACTTTTTCTGGGCTTGCAGTAAGCACTCTGATTTGGTCTTGTGATGCTGGGTGGCAGCAGTGAGCCACTGCTCCTAGTCAACCCTAGGATCACCAGGGGAAACAGCCAGATCTTCACAGGGTGCTGTGTTGCTGATAATGTTCTATAGTTTATGTGTATTGTTAAATACATGTTCAACTTAACAGTATTTTTAGTTTCCAGTGGGTTAACAGGGTGTGAGTTGAAGAGCATCTGTAAATGTAGAAGGAATGGTAGCAATTTTGCCAGGGTACGTCTCCTGACTAACCRTGAGAACACACTAGGCAAACCCAAATTGTGGGTGATTCTATAAAACAACTGGCCTGTAATCAAAATTCAGAGAAAGAAAGACTGAGAAACTGAGATGGAAGCAACAAGAGGCTTGATAACTTTGTGATCTTGTGTTGGATCTTTCTGCTATAAAGGATATTGTTGAGACAGTTCGTGAAATTTGAATGGAGCTTTGGATCATTGGCAGTGTCATATTCGTATTAATTTCTCAATACTGGTGGTTGTATTGTATCTCTGAAGGAGAATATCCTTGTTTTAGGTTTTATGTGCCAGCAGTCCTTGTTGCCAGGCGTGGTGGCGCATGCCTGTAATCCCAGTGGCTCCTCTGAGCCAGGAGAATTGAGAGTTCAAAGCCAGCCTCAGCAATGGTGAGACGCTAAGCAACTCAGTGAGACCCTGTCTCTAATAAAATACAAAAATGGGCTGGAGATGTGGCTCAGTGGTCAAGTGCCCCCAAGTTCAATCCCTGGTGCCCCCCCCCCCAAAAAAAAAAGAAGAAGAAAAGAAGTATCATGTCAAAACCTACTCAAATGGTTCATGGGAAAAGGGCTCTGAGTTTGAAATTACTTTAAATTGTTTTCTGGAAAATAGTAAAATAAATGTTCTTCCAGGCACCTTTACTATGGAGAATTTATTTCCTTTCAAAACTACAAAGACGATATAAACCTACCACAGGACAGTGTTTCCTTATTGGGATTATTGGGATTTTGGTGAAAGCAGTAAGCTTACAGACAGTCCACAAAAGAAGAAAAAAWTTTAATGCACCCATATACACAGAATCAGTTAGTGGCTCGTATAGTTGTGTATCTACTCAGGTTCCTGGATTTGTCACCTAAAGTCATTTGAGCATTTTTCAGGATTTAAGAGCAACATCCTAGAAAAGGGAATGTTTGAGTTTTTTGTTTTTATTGTTCTTTTTGCAAAGTAAGAATGTAGGCCCTGGAACCAGGCTGCCTGCTTTGGAATCCTGGCTACAACTTAAAGAAGATATCTGACTCTGACAAAGTATTTGATTTTTTTCCCTTGGTCTTGAGGAAAAATTGGAATAATAATGTTGAACTCACAAGTCTGTCAACCGGATGAATGAGAATAATATATTTAAAAGTACTTAGATTGTGACATGTAGTAAACACTCTATAAAGTTGGTAATTATTTCATAAAAAGTTAAAATGCTTTTATTAAATCATTCCAGTATGATTATGTTGGCTTTCTTTTCTCTTATCCTTTCAGAGGTCTTAAAAGTTGTGGCTTCTGCTCTTAAGCCTATCCTAAAGATCATACTGAAGTCTAGAAATGGGGCATAGTCTAAAAGACAATAGGCAAGCTAGGAGTAGTAGTGCATGACTTCATCCCAGAGACTCAGGAGGCTGGGGTAGTAGGATCACAAGTTTGAAGCCAGCCTCGCCACCTTAGCAAGGTCCTTAGCAACTTAGCAAAACCCAGCTTTATATATATATGTGACTGCATGACCAATGCAATTCTGCAACCTGTACACTCAGAAAAATGAGAAATTATATTCTGACAAATCCAGGAACCTGAGTAGATACACAACTATACGAGCCTCTAACTGGTTCTGTATGTATGGGTGCATTAAAATTATATCATTCAAATGTATGATATGTCAAGATCATTGCACTGTCACGTGTAACTAATTAAAACAAAAAATATGAAACTATAAAAAAAATTATTTTAAAGGTTTGGGAGTGTAGCACCTGTGTGTTAAATCCCCAGTACCCAAAACAAACAAACAAAGAACAATAGATAATACAGTGCAAAACAATGGACTTGGGCTTTGGAGAACTAACACTGATTAAATTCCAAGCTGCCACATTCAGACTTTATGGCATTGGTCTTGATCTGTAAAAATGTCTATTATGTACATATAATCATAGTGATCATAAGGTGTGTTGGTAGCCGGGTATGGTGGCTCACACCTGTAATCCCAGCAACTCGGGAGGCTGAGGCAAGAGGATTGGAAGTTCAGAGCCAGCCTCAGCAAAAGCGAGGTGCTAAGCAACTCAGTGAGACCTTGTCTCTAAATAAAATACAAAATAGGGCTATGGATGTGGCTTAGTGATTGAGTGCCCCTGAGTGTTCAATCCCTGCTACCCCCCTGCCAAAAAAAAAGGATTATTGGTGGTTAAGTGAGATAATCTTTGCAGAACATCTACTTGAGTGACCAACCTAAAGAATATCCTCAAGCCAAGCATGTTAGCACACACCAATAATCCAAGCAATTTGGGAGGCTGAGGCAGGAGGATCCCAAGTTCAAGGCCAACCTCAGGAATTTAGCAAGATCCTGTACCAAAATAAAATTTAAAAAAAAATTATAAAAGGGACTGGAGATGTAGGACAGTGATAAAGTACCCCTGAGTTAATCCCCAGAACCTAAATAAATAAAGTCTAATGCTTCTGACTATCATAGACCATAAGAAATTTAAGAAAAAGCTAAAAAGTGATATTTTAATTACTCCTTTAATAAAGGAGTAATTTCATTAGAAAACAATCCTTGAGATCAGAGATAGCAGCAGAAGGCTTGAGGGCATGATTGAAATGTGTGGTAAGCTCCTTACTGTTCCTACAGAAGTTTAGGCATCCCTGGATGGGTTTAAGTTGCTTCAGAGGGAATTTCCATTGACAAGAAGCATGTCATGTGTTGGGTAATGCCATTTTCAAGAGATGCAGGAGAAGGAAAGATAGCAATCTTTCTAGAACAGTGTGGGTTTAATGCATACCAGCCTTGGAGTGAGAGACACAGGACAGAATGCTTAGTCCCGCCCCATCTTTGTGAAAACCATGTTGATATTCTTGGCTTTAAAGATGTGAAGCTCTACCCCACAGGAGAGTTATGTCAGTTGCATAATTAAAGTGTATTTGTACATTTTCTTTTTTTTATTTTTTAAACATTTTCTAATTGTAGTTGGACACAATACCTTTATTTTATTTATTTATTTTTATGTGGTGCTTGGGATCAAACCCAGCACCTTGCACATGCTAGGCAAGCACTCTACCCACTGAGCCACAAAAAGGTTCATTTTCATAAAAGAAAATGAACCCTTGTACATTTTCTTTTAAAGRAAAAATGTGCTTGCTTTAGAGAATGTTTGTTCACCTCAAATTAATGGCTTTTGGCTATTGATCTAGGACATCTTTAGAACTCTTGAGTTTTATTAACCATTTTCCTGTTACACTTCCTTCTGCTTTAATTTATTCACTCTTTTATTTATTCATTTTCAACTTATGCCATATGTTGAAAACTCTTAATAGTTCGAGGCATTCTGCTGAATGTTAGTTCTAAAAAACTTTACAGAAAGAACACCTCATGGAACAGGATTCAGATTCTACTGCTGTTATAACCTCTGGTGGGTTTTATGGAAGCTCTCTGCAAAGGAGCATACTTTGAACCATTTTTTAAAACCGTATTATTTTGGCTACAGATRCATACTTGGTGTACATGGAAACAGGCTTGTTTGCACATTTCCTGGACTTTCCAGACAGAGATTTCCTTCCAGCAGCATTCTTTATGCGCAGTGAACAGCAGTGTGTGACTTGCACGAGAGGTTCCCGATGTCCGTAGTTCCCATGAAATTAAACTTGGGCTGATGGCTGATTGAATCTGTTATGAAATAGAAGCTGGTGATGTTGTTGCTTTTAATAAATGGGAGGAGATTTTTCCTTTAAAAATAAAAATCATGGTAATGTTCACTCTCTGAGCCGACTAGTGGCACAAAGGAAAACTGCTGCTCAGGTCTGAATCGCCAAAGGAAGAAAACTGCAATTACTAAACATTTCCCTGTTACAAAGAGCGTTGACCCTGCCAGGGAGAGCCCTATGCAACAAACAGCACACCACAAAAAGACTTCGATAGCTCAGTGACTTGCATTTCATCCAGCTATGTTAGTAGCAGGTTTATTCAGTGTGGTGCCTCTGCTTCCTTTAGATGTCTTAGCCTGCGGTTTGTTTAGCTAGAGAACTTAATGAGTAATGAATGTGCTCCTCTGGTCGATACAAAGCATTTCCACAGCCTGCGGCTGTGTTTATGGAGAGACGGAGAAAGACCACAGGCAGCAGTTTGTCTCCTTAGGTATCAGCATAGTCTTCTCTTCTAACAACTAGAGGATTTATTTTTAACTGCTTGACTCAGTGTTTGTCAGATGATTCGGACCATCAAACTGCAGATTGAAGCACCCAGTGCGGGGGAAGCTGGAATGGCAAGAGGAAGGGGGCTGGCTGGGAAAAGGGGTGGGATTTTAGAATCGTGCCTCACAAGCTCTGCCTCCCGATGTGGGAGAGAGTCGAGGCTTTCCAGCAGCATGAGTGTGTTTGCAGGTCAATCTGGGAACTCCAGGGTAATGGCTGCCTTCAGCTACTTAAAGACATAGTTGCCAGCAATCGGGGTATTGTGAGGAGCAACCAAGGACTAGGGGCCAGAGTATTCCGAGCACCACTCTCTGCCATCCTGCCAACCGAGCCTTTCTCCTGCTGGATGTTGCCTGTCTCYGGAAGCCTCTCACCATGATCGATAGCTCCAAGAAGCAGCAACAGGGTTTCCCAGAAATTTTAACTGCTGGAGATTTTGAACCTTTAAAAGAAAAGGAATGCCTTGAGGGGAGCAACCAGAAAAGTCTCAAGGAAGGTCAGTCTGTCTGTGGRTAGGGGCAGGATGGCCAGGTTCCCATTCCCATCTACAGGGCAAGCTTGTCTGTCTGCTTGCTATCCATGTGTCTGCTCTCTGTTCGCCCAGAGCCCTTACGTGGTCCAAGTTCTGTGCAGTGAAAGCGTGAGGCACTTACTTAAGATTCATTAGCTGATAGAACTCCGGGGATTTTGCAGTGATTGATAGGGGACTTAAGAAGCCGGTCTTAATTTTAACCGAATCTTTCCAGGTTCATTTTGTATATTTTCTCATTTTTCCTAATTTTTTCCCCCACCATCATGGTTTTTTGGAGAGGACATTTCCTTTTCAGTATTAGCCAAAACACGGCTTCTTTTAGGTTTTTAAACACACAATTCCAAGGAAATTAATTTTCCCCAATTAACATGATAATATTTTATTATCTGAAGCCAATAAGGTAGCTAGCTCTTTCTGAATTAAGTCCTAAAACRATGGATTATTTGGTTGTGATGTGCATTGCATCATTTTGTTTTAAGAAGCATAAAAACATTTGGAGTTTGTTTATTTTAACAAAGCAATCAAAAAATAAGCTTGTACTGTCAATTATTGTTGGTGACCACTGCTAACACATGTACCTCACTGATTGATTTTTTTAAATGGCCAAAGATATGGCATTGCTGTTCCCTGTCCTGTCTGATCATACTGAAGTGTGGCAAGCTCTATGGAAGGCTGCTTTGCTGTAGCATCCAGAGATCTAGGGCTATGGTTTAAGAAATTCAGGGTCTGTAGAAAGTAAGTTTTTCCTAAATTTGAAACATGAGGGCCACCTCTACCGATTTAATATGAAATTGTTTTGTTTTKTTTTCCATCCTCTTTGGGAGACACAGACCCCCATGGTAACTCTTTTTTTCTTTTTCTATGCTTCTASCTCCATTAGCCACCCCCTTGTCTCCCCTCTGGCTCTTGCTCATCTTATACAGAGACCCAGAGTGTAAATGTAGTTTGTCAGCCTAAGTCACTCTTTGAGCTTCTTCCAAAAGCTTACATCTCCTTTTTTTCTTTGAGGCATTTACAATGGATGAATGTGATGACAAGAGTATTACAGACTTAAAAGATAAGAAACAATAGCTGGACTTGCTGGGGTTGAASTACTTTTGGGTATGGGTAAAAAAACACCTAGATCGAAACAAATGACACACAATAAAATATAAATAGCTRTTGCTAAGAACTGAACAGTGGGTTGCTTCTGCTTGTGCACAGCATGCATTTATTGTAGATTCTTATAAAAATCAATGCCAGTCAGATTTTTAGGACACATTTCAGGAGACTCATTGAAAGGAACTTAAAAATTTTTAAATGTTAAATTTAAAAGTTTAATAAGGCTTATCTATGTATCACTTATGTCAAGTTTAAGCACTGAGCTTCTATTAATACCATATATTGAAAAGAGGTTTTGTGCTACTTGAAAACCCAGCAAAGTAGAGGAAAATGAAATAAAAAGAATCAAAACAGCCAAGTATGATTAAGGAGCTTAGAAAGCAAGGATTAAAAGTAAAAAGACAGGGAACGGGGGTGTAGCTCAGTGGTAGAGTGTGTGCCTAGCCCTAGGTTCGGTCCCTAATACGCTAGTTGGTAAGTAGGTAGATGAAAACAGGGTAGGAGTCAACAGCGAAGTAGAGCCGAGATGATTACATAATGTATGGAGTCTTCCTAACAATTCTGGGGCTTATACAAGAGCAGTAGTGTAATGTTGACTGAGCAAAAGAACATGGACTGAGCGAGAGGTCCTCAGGTTCAGATATCAAGACATAGCTTACTAGTTTTGTGTCGCTGGACAGGTTCCCTGCTCTGAACCTCAGTTTCCTCAATTTTACAAAGAGGATATACAATATTAACTTCCTACTATTTTTATGAGATACCAGGTTTAATATCAATTTCTCATCTTCCCCTCTTATTTACCTAATTTTAATCCTTTGTTACTTTTTTCTTCTATTTAAAATTTGGTATATAGTTTCAAAGTAGAAAAGTAGTCTGTATATTATTGTCTGGTAAATTCATAGGTATAAAGAGATAGAAGAAGAACTTCCATGTTTCAAAACATTCCACAGAAATGATTGGATAGTAAAATTCATCTGTTTCACCACAGTTTTCACTGAMGGGATTTTGATTAATATCTTACCAGATCATATCTCTGCTCATTTTTTGCAAATAATACAGACTTATATAAAAGGTGGTCTGCTAATTCAGGGACATCTTGTGGAAAGCTGCTTTTTTTTTTTTTAATTGGGAGTCATTTGAAAATGACTTTGTTTCCTCTGAAAAACTGAACTACTGAATTTCAGTGTGTCACAGTTACTGCCTGCAGATTGACCATCAGTTGTCAGCTTAAGAGGTTGGCAGACAAAATCAAGACAAGCACCTGGGCAGCTTTGTCTGCTTTTAGGTATTGGGTCATATGCATCAGTTGTGTTAATTCCTGAAGGACTATGATATGACATGACATGATATGACAGCAGTTGTTCAAAGATCTCTGAATGGTTTCAAAATGCCCTAGAGTTTAATTATGCTGTTTTGTCAAATGGGACAAATACACAAGCGACTGTTAACACTGCCTCATAGTTTATGCCTCCTTGGTTAAGGGACACTTACTAAAGGTGTTATATTTCACATCAGTGTTATTCAGTTTTCTACTCATTGTTGGCAAGGTTAGTTTTTGTTTGGAAAAACAACCTCTAGAATTTTTTAAAATGTTTGAATTGTAAGTTTCTCGTAATAAAAGAAGAATAAATGTTAGTTTGATCCTAATCATATGGACACCAATTTGGTCTCTGGAGTTGCCAACTTACAACGACTCTAAGGGACTATAAATGTACTCTGCTTCTTACTGGCTTGCTGATATTGAGATATCTTCGAATTCCTGTAATTATTGACAGTGCTAATTGTCTGAGATTATTGTGGGATAGGGGAAGAAAATATACTTTGTAAGAAATAATCATAGGAGTCAAGAATTTATGTAATATCTTAACAAGAAAATGTAGTAATACATTCTGGGGTTTCGTTTTGTTTTTGTGGTGCTGAAAATCAAACGCAGGGCCTCTCGCATGCTAGGCAAGCACTCTGTACCATTGAGCCACATCTTCAGTCTGAAGGAAAGGTCCTACGTTCACCACCTATGAATGAAAAGTTGTCATCATATGCCAGGGAATTGTTTGGACAATAAAGCACATCACCTCACAATTCTGTTAATGCTTACATAAACATTTTGATAAATACCAACCAACATGTGTAGTTGGAGAACTTAATTTCTGCTCCAGATGAGAGTAGCAATAAAAGTCATACATTCCCCTGAACAAATTCAAAATAGTGCAGTCCCTTTAAATTAATTTCTTTGTTCAAAGCAGCAATAGGAAATCTCAGCTTCTAATTTGTCTCCAAAACACTTTGAACAATTTCTAATTATGCTGAACACGAGATTTAAATTTAATTTCTACAGCAGCAACCAAGAAGGATGTTACAAATCACTCTGTGACAACAAAAAATTGATAATTATGAATTTTCAGGAAAAATCAACTAAATTGAGATGATTTAATTTATTTAGATAAACATTTTAATATGTCATTGAGAGAAATAAATCGTAATTCCATTGCTACAAATAAGTTATCTTCCATATTTATCAAAGGTAAAATGATAGTAAATGAATTTAAAAAAGGAAAGATTGATATTCCATATAAAGAACTCTCTATTGTTGAAAATAAGGCACCACAGAAGGAAAACTGACTTGTGTATTAATTTCTTGGGCTTAAAGTGCTCTAACAACCCCAAAATGCAGTGTTCTAATCATTCAAATTGCAGCTCTTGCTCAGAACACACTCAATTGGGTACTGTGTCTTAGGCAACTGTCCTCTAAGAAGTGACTCGGAGATCTGGGCTCCTTTTATTGTGTGGCTCAACCATAGCATGGGTAGCAAGGAGGAGCTACAGATTTGGGGGGTATCCCCACAAACCACATACTCAATTTTGCCATGGAATTACAAAGAATAGCTGAGATAGAGCATTTGATGTGGTAGTTGCCCAGGAAACATGGAGTAATTTAATATGTTGTGCTGGTACATATCTGTGGTAGATTTATTTAGAAGAAAATGAACATTTGACATGTTTTGAGTGATCCTAGAAATATAGGTTATARTGACAGTATAGTAATATAGATTAAATATCTTTGCCAAAGCACCAAAACTTTGAAGTAATGGAAATAAACATATATAATTCTACCTGAGCTTTCCACTAGCCACAGRTAGGCATTTAAATTTAAAATAGGACCTGCATTTGGTTTTTGTCATCTGCCACTTGAAGTGAAGCTGGGTATGGTGGCATGTACCTGTAGTCCTAGCTAATCAGAAGACTGAGGCAAGAGGGTCATTTGAGACCACCCTGGGCAACTTAGTGAAACCCTGTCTCAAATATATAATATAATATGTTCAGTTTTCTACTCACTGTTGGCAAGGTTAGTTTTTGTTTGTTTGAAAATTAAATTTAAATTTGTTTGTTTAAAAATTAATTATTTAATTCATATATATATATATATATATGAATTAAATAATTAAAATAAGAAAAAAAATTAAAATCCTGTCCTCAGTTAATTTGCCACATTTCAGCTACTGGGTTGAATTGTGAGATTTGTCAGCTGCTGCCACTAAAGTCTTCCATCAATGAGTGTCTACTGCATAAGGCTGCTCTAGGCTTTTCTCCTGACACCTGGCTTTGCAGGCCCAGAGTCTCTTAAAACTCAGTTCCTGTGCCATTTCCTAAAGACAGTTACTTGATCTCATCAGCTGAAAATACTTATTTTCCCCTGTATGTTCCCCGGAATTTTATCTGAGTCTTTTTATAGCATTTCCCCATAGTCCATTGTGATATACATCTGTCCTGCCTTTACTAKTAAACTGTAGCATTTGTTGGGGATAAAATTGTCTGGTCCACTTCTGTTCCTCATCCCCAAGGTCCTGCCTCTCACAAACATGTTG